GTACACTAACAAGAATTTTTGTAGTCTTTATTTTAAAACATTAAAGTGAATTAATTTTTTAAATTAATATTTTCACCACTACTTCACATAGCTTAGTAGTAAAGCAATGGCGCATGAAGCCAGGGACCCTAATTCGATTCCCGCGGAGGGCATGACAACAGCAGCAATTTTTGCTTATTAACGATATATATAACGTTTAGGAAGGTCTATTAAAATTACATGAGACGATTTTGGCTCTCTTCCCCCCCTGAACGCCTCTTTTAAAGTTTGTAACTATTAACTTTTTTGCTATTTTTACTGTTCTTGTTTCAAATTTTGTCCTGTAACTTTTCTCTAAGTAAATTTACGTATACACATTAATTTGAATGCTAATAACTTGTTACTTTTATTAACTGTTTTCTAATTTTTACGTTATTTTCTAAATTTCGGCGGATGTTTCTTTTTTCTTCTTTAAATAACAAATTGGAAAAGATGGATTAAATTAATTTATTCCCAATTGTACTACAGTTAGGCCCGATAAAACAGAATGATACAAATTAACTCATCAGTAACGGATAGATATACAGGGGCAAAAGATTAGTATGCTTAGATTTGCAGATGATATAGCAGTGTTAGGATCTAGCAAGGAGGAGTTAGAGATAGCTTTAAATAAAATGGAAGCGGTATGAAAATAAATAAAAGTAAAACAAAAATACTGGTATGCAAGGGAGGGAAAAGTAGGGAATATAAAGAGCGAATATAAATATAGGAGACGAAAAATTAGAAGAAGTGGCCGATTCTAGGTATCTAGGAAGTCAGATAAGTCAGGACGGAACGGATATAAAGCAGAGGATAGCGCAGGGTCGAGTCGCCTTCAATAAAAAGAAGTCACTTCTATGCCCGCGAACAGTTAATTTAAAAATTCGAAAAAGGTTGTTAAAGTTGTATGTTTGGAGCACGGCGCTGTACAGGTGCGAAATATGGACAGTGGGCGCAGCAGAAAAGAAAATGTTAGAAGCTTTCGAAATGTGGTGTTACAGGCGAATGATGAGGATACCGTGTATAGAGAAGGTTAGAAATGAAGAGGTATTAGAAAGAGTAAGAGAACAGAGGACTCTATGGAAGTCAATAAGAAATAGGCGAGATAGGTTAGTAGGACACCTTCTCAGGCATGAAGGTCTAGTCAGAGACATATTACTGCTAGAAACGGAAGTTAGGAGGGGTAAAGTTAGACCTAGATTAGATTACTATTCGCAAATAGTTAATTATATGGACTGCTCTAGCTTTAGGGAAATGCGAAAATTAGTGCAGGGTAGGAAAGAGTGGAGGTGTGTGTCCAACCAGTCTTATGATTGACGACTTTATGATGATGAACGGATATTTTTTTAAGAAGTCACGTAGCATTCAGCTGACGTTTAAATATAAATTTTGCCACGAAAGAAGCCAATCACACAAAAATAACCAAATAGTTACCCACATTTTTACAGAAAATATCAATTTTTCTATTTGTATTTATTAAATCAGAAAAAAAAAAGAAAAAAGTTTTGATGAATATTAACAAGTATGGTTATTGGTAGTTAGCAACTGTGATGGTCATTGCTCATTCTTTGCTAGTTAGTTAATATAGTAAAAGTACACTGTAAATACTGCATATTATTTATTACCATATCTCAATTGGTGTTTGAGTACCTACTTAGCGAATTGTCTCACAAAAATTTGAGGCCTCGTTTGATAAATTTTATCGAAAGATCAAAATTACTTCGCAATAAAATACAGTTTAATGTTTAATACTTTGAGGAAGTAATCATAAACAATAAACACTTTATCTATAAACTACTTAATACCTGACAAATACAAACGGATGTATTGCGGTATTAGTGAAGGATTATGTTGGCGTCATGAACATAGTATGAATAATATGTAGGTATACTTCGTTTACTTTCTGTAGCGATGTGACTTTCAGTTTGACCAGCGCAAAGTAGAAAAAAACAGCACTAGGCCAGAAAAGGAAAGAGACAACTCTCGGCCAAACTCTTAACCGGTGAGAAGCGTATAATCCGTACAGTACTACACGGAAAAATTGACCATTTTATCCACTACAATTACATTGCTCAAATGTGCTGTTATTGGTACCATTTACTACTAAAAATATCAACGAGATGTTATTTATATTTGAAGACATATTAAAAGCTTTAACACTTGTTTTCGATTCGCACTACTGTTCATGATTGAACAAAACTTTTGAAAGGTGCTGTACGAAAAAGTATGTTTAATTAACAAGAGTCGAGAGTATAATAAGCTTTTTTCTCCCTACCTACGATTTTGCCAGCGCGCATCCAGGACATTGGAAGGAGCACATCGCTAGAGAAAGTAAATGAAGTATACCAAGAAAACTATAAACAGAAGAAATAATCCTCGACTTTAATATATCTATTAGCTGTGTCAGTACATAAGAAAAGGTAGTCATGGTGAACTAACATTGCCCAAAGTCTTCATTATGACTCACTGCAGTTGTTTACATCGAGAAGTGAGCCTCAGTGAGCACTTGGTAGTTTAACCATGATTATATATTCATATGCGCTGCTACTGGACTGTTGATTATGTAATTAAGAAATAAACAAAAGCGTAAAAGGTTTTTATTTTATCTTATGTTCAATTGACCCCAAAATATGCCAAAACTGCGAAGTGATGCCATTTAAAATTGTACGTTTTTCAGATCTAACAATAAGCAAAGGTACACTAACAAGAATTTTTGTAGTCTTTATTTTAAAACATTAAAGTGAATTAATTTTTTAAATTAATATTTTTACCACTACTTCACATAGCTTAGTAGTAAAGCAATGGCGCATGAAGCCAGGGACCCGAATTCGATTCCCGCGGAGGGCATAACAACAGCAGCAATTTTTGCTTATTAACGATATATATAACGTTTAGGGAGGTCTATTAAAATTACATGAGACCATTTTGGCTCTCTTCCCCCCCTGAACGCCTCTTTTAAAGTTTGTAACTATTAACTTTTTTGCTATTTTTACTGTTCTTGTTTCAAATTTTGTCCTGTAACTTTTCTCTAAGTAAATTTACGTATACACATTAATTNTTATAAAATGTAAAACGATTTATATACAATATTTATACTTCTTTTATGATTATTTCAAATTTCACAAAACATGCTGTAATTTGAAAAATTTATGAAACGTTAGGTACTGTATGCTACTAAAAAAAGCTGTTCAAACACAGCTACCTTGTTGACTTTATACTATCCAATTCTTGTTAGATATGAGCGCGCAACTTCCGTTGCCTACTAAAATGTCAGTCTCAATGTGGCAATGAAAGTATAACCTCAAAAAACTTGTTCTAATTTTGAAAATAGTAGAAAGTAGAGTCTAACGAAATCCGAAAAAATGATAAATCCACTTGTAGTGGCAAAATTATTAATCATTTTGCTTTAACTAATTATGCTTCAATGGCCTTTCATAATTGATAAAAAGTAAAAAATAGCAATAAACTAAAAGAAAAAAGATCTATGCACCTTCACAACATCACTGAATAGATTGTGTTTCAATGACCCATTTTATTCCAGCTCCGAAAAAGGGATATTCAAACGGGTTCATTGATTTTATATAGGACAAACGATAACTCATCAGAAAATATCATACTTCTTTCTTAATTTTTGAAAACGTTAAAAGTAAAATATTTGTAGGTAATAGGTACCTATAATGATAAGGTCGTCAGTCCTAAGACTGATTGGACAAGCACCTCCACTCTTTCCTATCCTGAGCTAAACTTCGCATTTCCCTAAAACTAGAACAATCCACATCCTTAACTATTTGCGAACAGTAATCTAATCTGGGTCTACCTCTACCCCTACTAACTTCCGTTTCTGTCTCTAATATGTCTCTGACTAGACCTTCATGCATGAGAAGGTGTCCTACTAACCTATCTCGCCTGTTTCTTATTGACTTCCATAGAGTCCTGTGTTGTCCTATTCTTCCTAATAGCTCTTCATTTCTAACCTTCTCTACAACGGTATCTTCATCATTCGCTTATAACACCACATTTCGAACGCTTCTATCCTTTTTTTCCGCTGCGCTACTGTTCATGTTTCGCACCTGTACAGCGCCACGCTCCAAACATACACCTATATAACAATCATTTTCGAATTTCAAAAGTAAACATTCGAGCGCATTGAAGTGACTTCTTTTTATTGAAGGCGACTCAAGACTGCGCTATCCTCTGCTTTATATCCGTACTACTCCTTCCGTTCTAACTTATCTGACTTCCTATATAGACACCTAAAATCGGTCACTTCTTCTTATTCGTCTCCTATCTTTATATTCGCTCTTTGCCTATTTCTTCCACCCTTGCATACCAGTATTTTTGTTTTACTTTTATTTATTTTCATATAGCACTGTTTTGTCAATACCGCTTCTCTAACTCCTTCTTGCTGGATGCTAATACTGCTATATCATATGCAAATCTAAGCATACTAATCTTTCCCCCCTGTATATCTATCCCTACACTTGTACTGTCTTTAATGATGTTGATCGCGTCTTCGATGTATACATTAAAAAGTATCGGTGACAGTGTGCATCCCAGTCTGACCCCCTTCCTAATATTTACTTCTCTACGTTGCAGCCCCAGCTCTATAACTGCTTATTACTCTTTATTTTAACTAAATATCACTCTTCTATCTTTGTAACTCATCCCTGCATGTTTAAGTATATTTAACATCTTGTTCCATTTAACATTTTTTTCTAAATCTAAAGGTACCTTTATAAGATCAAACGATTGAGTCCCTGCAAAAGATTAACACTCTTTGTTTCGACAAAACTATCTAATTACTTTGAGCATGAACCACAACAACCCAAATTGTAATGAAAATACAGTCAAACAAAAGTCAATGCTTTGTGAAATTATTAGTATACGAATTTTGTATCTATCAAAGTACCTGATTCTGAGTAAACCGAACAACTAAATTATAATTATAATTGTAAATTTTAATTATCTGAACAACAAAACTGTGCTCTATCAGCTATGTGGCCACTATCTGATTTAATCATAAGATGAATTAACTCAAAATGCAAAAGTTATGAGTCGAGTAATATTTTGTTGAAAAATATATAAGATGTTTCATGAGCGCTATGGAAAATTTTGGTAGATGATAGATTGGTTATTAATTTCAAAATATTCTCCTAAATGAACATGAGTCCAATTGCTTTTTGCTTAGATGTTACAAGTATTTTAAATAATATAATTAGTTGACTTGGTCATATAATCATTTCACGAATGAATGGATTGGTCCAAGGGATCCAACAGGATAACCATCGTGTTCCCCAAATCTAAATTCTTTGGATTTTTATTTATGGCGACACAAGAAACACCACTACCCATTATCAGTTAAAAATTGTTAAAGCAACTAACCTAATGATAAGAAATGATCCAAATCTCATCTACTGAGTGACGGAATCGTTAGTCTGTCGATGTGAGGTTAATAATCGAGCCGAAGATGAATATCTTTTGTAGTTTTGTTATATTTTTATTTATTACGAATTTTATTGTGACTTACTTCTAAATAATTTTTAATTAATATTTTAACTTCTAAACAAAAACGAATCGGACCAATGTTCATTATCTTCCATCTTTCAAAGTTTGTTATTAGTTCGTGAAATACTGCATATTTTAATAACGGAAGAATTTGGAATGAAATTAGTTACTTTAGTGTGAGTTTATAAAACTAATTTTGGCATTTTTAAATATTATATCGTAATATCTTACCTTTTAACTCCACTATCGTCAGGTAAAAATGCGGGATTTGTATGATGGCTCATTTTTATCGGTACACAATAGGAGTTTCTGCGTCAACCACAGCCAAGATGCAAACCTTATAACGTCTTATTTTCTCCTGAAAATTTAATTGCAATACAGAAATGGCGAATTACTGACGTTACAATTTATTAACTGCCGTTATTGGTTGCGATCAGGATAAAAATAAACACAACCGTGTATGGGCAGATGATTATACACATACGTAAACAATACGTCGAACGTTGTTAGACATTTCAATTAATTTATAATTTTCGAACATGAAAGTTCAAATCGTTAAACATTTGTACTAGTTATAACTAGTTTGTTATGATTCCTGGTACCTTTAATTTAGTTATTAATTAGCATCTGTATATCTATAGAAAAAGTGACAGTCCATTTACAAATTCACTTTTAAAAAATATTTCGTCAAATAATGTATCGAAATTTCGAGTTATAATTCGGCAACTTCAAATTTCGTGTTAAAACTCAAAATTTCAACCTAGTGTGTTGAGTTACCCGGCAGTCATCATAAGGTCGTCAGTCCTAAGACTGGTTGGATACGCACCTCCACACTTTTTTATCCTGAGCTAATCTTTGCATTTCCCTAAAACTAGAACAACCCACATCCTTAACTATTTGCTAACAATAATCTAAACTAGGTCTACCTCTACTCCTCTTAACATCTGATTTTGCCTCTAATAATTTAAATTAAACGTTCGCGAGCATAGAAGTAACTTATTATTGAAGGTCGCTCGACCCTGCGCTATCTTCTGCTTTATATTCCTACTACTCGTTCCGTCCTGACTTATTTGACTTCCTAGATACCTAAAATCAGCCAATTATTCTAATTTTTCGTCTCCTATCTTTATATTCGTTGTTTCCCTACTTTTTCTTCCCTTGCATACCAGTATTTTTGTTTTACTTTTATTTAGTTTCATACAATACCCTTTTGGTTTTAGGTTGAATTAAGTTTGACTCAACCGTGCAAACAAAAGATACACGGCGATGACGTTCACTTCGTTCTTATTGTCTTTACCTATCGTAGCCGTATGATCCTAATTGAACTTAATACTTTTATTTGGTTGGATAAGATAATACAGTTACGGTAGGTAAAGGTAACACGAACAAAGTTAGAGTTGTCGTAATCATGTCCTTTTTTAAAATTGCTTCAGTTTAGGTCAGCATTGGGTTGAGTTAGGTTAAGTTAGGTTAGATGAAGTTATTCTTACTAATCACATGAATCTATATGAACACGTATTCTGTATGCTAATCATCTTCTATTATTAGATCTTCGCATTTCTCGGAAACTAGGGCAACTTCTAACTTTTGTCGAATAGGAGATAGTCTACGTAATGTGGGTCTACCTCTGTCTCCTTAACGATGAACTCCTGTTTCTGTTTTTAATATATCTCCAACTAGCTCGTCATATTTCAAAAAAATTGTCAGATTAGCCGATCCCGAACTCAACAATTATAAGATACTCATGAAATTTAGTATTACGTGTATATTATTAGTAGAAACAGGAGTTAAGAGGAGTAGAGGTGGATCTCGATTAGATTACTGTTCACAAACAGTTAATGATGTGGGATGTTCTAGTTTTAGGGAAATGAGACTTAGGACAGGAAAGAGAGGAGGTGCGTGTCCAACCAGTCTTAGGACAAAAATTCCGTAATGGTGTTTGCACTGAAAATACGGAAATAAACATAACTGACTGAGATTAGATTTGCGCAATAATATGCATGAAAGTGGGAGTAAAAATTATTAAAAGGTTTGATAAATTAAACATTAATTACAATTGATTAATTACTACTAAATATTTGCAAAAAAGTAAATTCGACCATTTGTCTTATCAATACAAAATTAGAACAAAACAACTACATGACGGATAGACGAACGCCAAAACAAAATTTGTAACCAGGCAACTAGCCGAAACAACGATTATTATTATAGAGGATAATTTAACAATAATATGTATTAGGTACACACTGCAGAGTGGATAGGCAAATGTAGTATTTATAAAAAATGCACTTTTTATTTCCTTGTTGGTATATTATAAATATTTAGTTTGATTATTTGTTTATTTGAAAAATCGTCGTGTCGAGCAATATTCAGGTAAGGAAAAACGTTCACTGAACATAAAAAATGCCCCCAGTAGCACACGACATTGGCCCAATATTTATTCTATATTGGTACAATATTGTATATGGGCCCAATATTGGCAATTTATAGCCAATATTGGTAATATATAGGACATATACTGTTTTCCTATATTTTAATACAATGTTTATCCGATATTTATCCAATATTAATAAAAGATATTTGACAATAACTTTTATTTATATTGATTTGTAATATTTATCCAATATTGGCAATATATACAAGGGATGTACCTTTTCCTTTATTTATATAGAATATTTATCCAATACTGACCCAACATTGAAAAAACATCTTTGACAAAATTGAGTCCATATAAAGACACTTTGCCCGGCGCTTGGGTACCAAAATTCTTGGAAGATTGATGGTTAACTTTTAGGTCGCCTAGAAATTGCAACCTAACGTAAACTAACCGTTAGCTAATATTGGTAATATATTGGAGATGTACCTTCTTCCTATATTTTAATACAATGTTTATCCGATATTGATCCAATATTAATAGAAGATATTTGGCAATAACTTTTATTTATATTGATATGCAATATTTATTCAATATTGGTAATATATATAAGGGATGTACTTTTTCTTTTATTTATATAGAATATTTATCCAATATTGATCCAACATAGATAAAACATGTTTGGCAAAATTGAAAGTCCATATAAAGACACTTTGCCCGGCGCTTGGGTACCAAAATTCTTGGAAGATTGATGGTTAACTTTTGAATCGCCTAGAAATTGCAACCTAACTAACCGTTAGCCAATATTGGTAATATATAGGAGATGTGCTATCTTCCTATATTTTAATACCATGTTTATCCGATATTGATCCAATATTAATAAAAGATATTTGGCAATAACTTTTATTTATATTGATATGTAATATTTACCCAATATTGGTAATATATATATAAGGGATGTACTTTTTCTTTATTTATATAGAATATTTATCCAATATTGATCCAACATAGATAAAACATGTTTGGCAAAATTGAAAGTCCATATAAAGACACTTTGCCCGGCGCTTGGGTACCAAAATTCTTGGAAGATTGATGGTTAACTTTTGAATCGCCTAGAAATTGCAACCTAACTAACCGTTAGCCAATATTGGTAATATATAGGAGATGTGCTATCTTCCTATATTTTAATACCATGTTTATCCGATATTGATCCAATATTAATAAAAGATATTTGGCAATAACTTTTATTTATATTGATATGTAATATTTACCCAATATTGGTAATATATATATAAGGGATGTACTTTTTCCTTATTTATATAGAATATTTATCCAATATTGATCCAACATAGATAAAACATGTTTGGCAAAATTGAAAGTCCATAAAGACACATGGCCCGGTGCATGGGTACCAAAATTCATTGAAGGCCGATTGTTAACATTTAGGTCGCCTAGAAATTGTGTTACGGTCGGAAATGCTACCGGGTTTTTCATCCTCTGAAAGTATTTGTTGCAATCGCCCATTAGTGCAAATAAAGTGTGTAAATGTAGAGGCAAGTAAAGAAGTGGTAAGTAAATGTATATTTTAGTTGTTTAATTAATTATTATGTACTGTGTGATTCTCACATGTAGTAATAAATGTTAACTGGATTATATAATAAGTCAGGGAAAAGATAGTGTTCGGCATATATATGTATTCGTAATGCGTATAGTTTTGTGTTAGAACTTACAAGAATATTTCGTTCACATTAACAACGTTTTTCAGACACTTTTGGAGTCTATTTTGTTGAATTTAATTGCCCTTCAGGTACTTTTGCCGGACCCCTTGGGTCAAAATATCTGTGCTGGTTACTAGCTTGATACAGCCTGCTCTCCATCTCACCCTTCAGGAGGCCTGTTTGTGTATTAAAGATAGTTTTTAAGTTGTAGTTACACCGAATCTTAAATGGACGTGTAACGTACAGAGTCGTCTGTACAGATCTTATCTAATCTTATGGTGAGTGCATTTAAATTTATATTTCCAAAATTAATGTGATTTTATAAACACCTAATCGTATTGGACATAATTGGTTAAGTATGTTTTGCCGATGTTTGATTGTATAGCTCCGCCGTGGCGTCATCGCAGTTTATATTTTCCTCATTTTCTATATTTTTTTTATTTTATGTGATCTTAGAATAAATATTAAGCTATAGGTATCATTAAATTGTAGGCTTGGTTGTAGGTAGGTATATTTTAGATAGCTCGTAATGTAATATGTGTAAGTACTTACAATAATTATTATTGCTGTTTCCGAAGATAATGACAATTTTTTTCTGCATTTTTAGAAGCTGCCCGAAAGCGGTTTCAAAATCCTACCGACAATGATATTAAAAAATCAATTTCGGCGTATTTAGCAGGTGCTGGGGACAAGGAAGGCGGGCGGAAGAGTAGATGACATATTATTTCACAAAATATTAGTTTTTTTCTATTTACAAAACATTTGTTTAGAATGTATTTTTTTGTTTGTTCGTAAATTTAAGCTAATTTTCTATAATATAATAAAAAATATATATACCGAACAATTTTTTATTTCAGTGTTCTATTATATTATTATTTCTTAAAATTGGATCAATATTCAATTTTAATATTGGGTTGATATTAAAAATCTACATTGGGCCAATAAAAAAAAATCTGACGTTTCCATCATTGAACCAATATGTAAATATAATATTTTACCAATATTTTTGTGGTACTGGGGTAGATATTGTGCCTATATATACATGATATATTGTAACTATATTTAAAACATATATTGGACCAATCTGGAAAACAAATATTGGCTGTATTTTTCAAATAAATATTGCACATTTATTATTTCCTAACATTGGAACAATATTTAATTTCAATATTGGGTTAATATTAAAAATCTACATTGGGCCAATAAAAAAAAATCTGACGTTTCCATCATTGCACCAATATGTAAATATAATATTTTACCAATATTGTTGTGCTACTGGGGGCATATTCCTTTTTGGCATTTTTTCTTTTTATGTTGCACGAGAGAAACTGCATAATTTGGTGAACTTATGGAATACATTTTTTCGACAACATCTACCCGAAAATAACTCCTATTTGTAATAAATCTATCCTAAATTAACCGAACTGTCTAAATCTTTTGAACAAAGTGTAATACCCCTTATAGGCTTCAATTTTAGGTCGACTTTGTTAACAGTCACTGTACCTATCTGTAATAGTTTTTGATATATTCAATTGTTTTTGAAATAAAATTATCGATATTTTCTGGAAAACTGCTAGAGACAAATATTTGAAAAACCTTATATAACTAAAAAGGACTTCTAATTTCGCATCGAACAGTATCAATTAATATAGGTCATTCCATTTGAAAAGAAAAAGAAGGTTATTCGACTTATATGATTGTCGAGGTATATGTCTAGATGATGGGATTGAAAGAGGAGGTCTAAGAAAAATATCCCTGGTCAAATGATCCATCTATTATTACATTTTTGAATTCAGCATCGATTTTAATGTCCAGTTTATTAAGCATAGTTTTTGCCTGCGCGGTATTAGCGCACATTAAATAATTACACTAGCAATGTTCAAATTTTAAATGTTTCAAACATCAATAACTTGGCATTTCGAAACGGTTGTGACATGCCTAATAACTTGACATCTTAAGAAAGTAAAAATCTGAAAATAAATATGCAGGTATGTGTGGGGAAATGTACATAAATGAAGTCATGGAAAGAACCAAGTGGTGTTTCTTTTACGTCAAATATATCAAAAGTGTAAACTTTAAAAATAACAATGTTTTATATAAAATATCATCAAAAGTTTTTGAATTTTTTTTTCACTTTCATCGATTATTGGTTACGTAGTTATTGTTACCAGTTTTTTTAATGTTTTGAACTTCATGTTTAATCTGTACAGCCACTGTTCTAACAATGTTTTGAACCAATAACGTTAAGGTGAAACGCCATGTGTATAAATAATTCAAAATTGAGTAGTTATCAGCATTGTAAATATTACCATAAAGATTTTTTTTTGTAGTCTTAAAACCCGAAGTGCATAATTTACTTATTGGAATTACCAAACGAGGGTGTGGTATACATACATTTAACCAAAATTGGACATACCTTTTGAATGGAAAAATTCAGGCTTGAAAAACAACGAACAAAAAAGCTGCTTGTCAATTTTCACTCATTGTCAGTAGCACTTGAAATAATAATAGCGTACTATCGGTGCTTGTTATTAGGTCAAAAAATATGTATCCTCTAACCCTGTGCTCTTAATATTTTAATGAAAAAATTGGTTTGCATAATAGGCAGCCTGCTTTTATCACAGCCAAATTTAATACACATTAAGTTACGTCGAGCAAAACCCAAATTCACTTGTCACAGTTGTAGAAATATAAAAAATGCCTTTTTGGCACCACACACTGTTTCAATTATTGTTGTCAATTCAATGTTTAATGTAGTCATAAACTATACACAATATAATAGAATTCACCAGTCGAAAACCTACAAATAAATAATTTTTCTTAAGAAGTGTACTGTCTACCGTGTAAAGATTGAACTTACAATAGAAACAAACAATTTCCTATGTGAGTTGATATAGTTTTCTCTGATATTGATACGTGATTCTTTGTTTTTTGCTGTTCAATAATAAAAAGTTATCTATTTCAATGTACACTTGAAGGGGAACCTTAAATTACGCCGAAATAACAGTCTTTGTTTGCCTAAGGATTTTGAAAATTAACTTGCAGCATCACGACCATATTAGTAGATAAGCAGTAATGAGACGTGCAAACAAAAGTTTATTGAAACTACAAGGGATAAACAAGTATTAACTGAAAACGTAAATAAGATTTAAAATTTAAAAACATCTGAATGTCTGTTAAAAAAATTCCTACGATTAAGTTATACAATACAAGCTTTTACCCGCGGCTTATCTAGCGTTCATGTCCTAAATACGTGTCAAAGATAATCGAAAATACAATAATATTAATAAATAGTCCTGACCAGGAATTTCTTATTTTCCAGGATAAATTCTTTATAGAGATGATAAGAAAATTTTCTATCCCTCGAGGACAGCATTTCTTTTCTGGATAAAAGGTGCCCTATGTTCTTTCCTGTACCCCTGACAATGGGTGTACAAAATTTCATGTCGATCGGTTGAGTTGTTACAATATGAAATAGTAATAAACAAACAAACAAACTTGCATTTGTAATATCAGTATTGTAATGTTCGTGGGTTTAACAAATTAACTTTTAAGACTCAAACGACGAAAACTATTTATTTACACTAATTATTATTAAAGGACTTAAAAACACTATTAAATTATTACTAACTCAGGTAATTATTGTATTTATTTACATTACTGTTACTATTCACTGTTCTATTTATTTCACTTCTATCACTGTCAATTTATCTCTTGATTCACCTCTGCAACGGTCAATTTATTTCTCCTCCTCTCGGCGATCGTCTCTTCCTTTAAATACTTATTTGGTCCCTTTCGGGAACTTTCTCGAGCCGTCCGGAAAAGTCTCGTTTTCTTTGAACTGTTTAATTGATTTCCCGGAACGCAGGTACGACACACACGTTTACAGATACGGCGCACATGAAGAAAGGCGCCCGCGGCTAGTCGGCGAATCGATAACCCGCTCACACACACGTATGCCCGATCGCACACAATCACGCTTGTGGTCGCTACAGTATTAATATTAGATCAACATCTGACCCGGAAGCAGGATTTTCTTTGAAGGAGGCTCAATAATCAAAAAGAAAATAAGGCCTTTCAAAAATTTTAGGTAGTTTAATTACTAGTTTATTGCACGAAAAATGAGAAGGGCATTTATAAAGCAAAGACTGCAAAACTTCAAGGGTTTTTATTGATATTTAATATATAGCCCACATTAGATTTATTACAAAAAACGTTCGCCGACGATGACATTCAAAAGTCAACGCTGAACAACCAGCCTTCTAAACGTTGGCGTTTGGATCTGTTTGTCTAACGCGAATAATTTATAATTGAAATTGTGGTTTAGTTGATCATGTTTGGTGAAACATTTTTTAATATTGTAATGAATTAAAAATAAACGCTTGAAACTTATAGGCTAAGTGATTCTTTTTTATTCATCATTCATCATCATCATAAGGTCCTCAGTCCTAAGACTGACTGGACACGTACCTCCACTCTTTCCTATCCTGAGCTAAACTTCGCATTTCCCTAAAACTAGAACAACCAACATCCTTAACTATTTGCGAACAGTAATCTAATCTAGGTCTACCTCTACCCCTCATAACTCCTGTTTCTGCCTCTAATATGTCTCTGACTAGACCTTCATGCCTAAGAAGGTGTCCTACCAACCTATCTCGCCTATTTTTTATTGACTTCCATAGAGTCCTCTGTTCTCCTATTCTTTCTAATACCTCTTCATTTCTAACCTTTTCTACCCACGATATCCTCATCATCCGCCTTTAACACCACATTTCGAACGCTTCTAATCTTTTCTTTTCCGCTGCACCCACTGTTCATGTTTCGCACCCGTACAATGCCGTGCTCCAAACATACACCTTTATCAACCTTTTTCGAATTTCTAAATTAACCATTCGCGAGCATAGAAGTGACTTCTTTTTATTAAAGGGGACACGACACGACCCTGGGCTATCCTCTGCTTTATATCCCTACTACTCCTTCCATCCTGACTTATCTGACTTCCTAGGTATCTATTCATTGTGAATAATTTTTTCCTCCATTTTTATTCTCATGAAAAAGAATTATTTATTGAAAATTACGTCGATTGATTAATTTCATTTAGATATTCAGTATGCAGTCTTTAATTGTATTCAGAAACATAGAAACATCTTGCATACCATTAGCCATGAAAATTTTTATACAGCATGCTAGGTGACTACACTTCCTTTTTGTTATATAACAACAATCACCTAATTACGTTCGTGTATTAAAACATTTACGATTTATTGTTGTGTCGTGGTATTCAAGATAGGTGTAAATGTGGATATATGTATACTTTTGATATGTTAATAAATTTAACAAACTTGCTTATTGTTATTTTTGCATTTACTGCATTTCTTAGTCAGCTGCATTTACATATGCAGTAAAGGTTGGAAATGAAGAGGTATTAGAAAGAGCAGAAGACGTTATGGAAGTCAAAACCTACTAGGCAAAGTAGGTTCGTCGGTTGGTTGGTTGATAGGACATCTTCTAGGATATGAAGGGCTATTGAATGACATAGAAGCAGCAACAGAAGTTGTGAGGGGTAGAGGTAGACCTAGATCAGGTTACTGTTATTATTGTAAATAGTTAGAGATGTAGGCTGCTCTAGTTTTCGAGAAATGATTGTCTCAAGACATGAAGAAGTGAAGGCGCGTGCCGAGCCAGTTCAGTCAGTCATCAGACTGACACTGAAGACAGCGACCTATACTTCGTTTACTTTCTGTAGCGATGTGACCTTCAGTTTGACCTGCGCAAAGTAGAAAAGAACAGCACTAGGCCAGAAACGGAAGGAGACAACTCTAGGCCAAACTCTTAACCGGTAAGGAACGTATAATCCGTACAGTCTTGCACGGAAAAATTGACCATTTTATCCACTACACATTGCTGGTATTGGAACCATTTACTACCGAAAATATCAACGACATGTTTATTATTATTATTTGAAGATATATTAAAGGCTTTAACGCTTGTTTTCGATTCGCACTACTATTCATGATTGAACAAAACTTTTGGCAGGTACTGTATGAAAAAGTATGTTTAATGAGCAAGAGTCGAGAGTATAATGAGTTTTTTTCTCCCTAACTACGATTTTGCCAGCGCGCGTCCAAGACATTGGAATGGTCTCATCGCTAGAGAAGGTAAATGAAGTATAGCTAGGTTTTTTTTAAGGGGGTTTCAATAATGTCGCCGATAGTAATTATTGTGAATTTATTTGTGAACAACACCCTATGAAAATAATTAGACTAGACAGCAAATTTCTTTCGAAACCACCGACACAAATCCACTCGTGGCTAAAAATCAGTTTCAAGCACTCGCTGCAAATGACGAATATGCAGCAACTGTTCCTTTAAAAACTGCTACACTGAGAGGAGTCGGTGTTGGTTGCTATTTCGCGTATATTATTTTGGGGATTATCTTCTTTGAAGTGGAGGATTTCGTCCCTACAGCAGCTATATTATTCAAAACCGTATCATGTAGCATGTTACATAATTGCAGCAACAACTGTTCTACAGTGACTAACCTACACTAATGATAAATGTTGTATTTCTGAATTTATTTATTGAACTTCATATCGATTGCCTCATACAAGGTTTAAACCTTAAAATAATAAACAGTTACTAGAGGTTGACTGTTAGCACAAACACCCTGAATCACACTTAATCTAATTTAACAAATAAACAATACCTTAGCAAAAAAATACAAAAGAAAAACTACACTGATGCCGGTAATCACTATCTGATTGAGTGCAGCGTTGCAGGCCATATTTCTTTACCAGAGCCGAACTTGAATTTACCCGTAATTTCAATTACGTTTTTCTCGAACAAGCAACAGAAGTTACGAGGGGTAGAGGTAGACCTAGACTAGATCACTATTACTATTGCAAATAGTTAAATATATAGGCTGCTCTAATTTTCGAGCGTGCCGTACCAGACATCGGGTTGAAGACAGTGACGTAGCTAGGATTTTTTTCGGAGGGTGTCCATAAAATAAAATTATGTTTTCAATCAATTTTTTAACTTAGAAAAAACAGTTTTTTTAAGAATTAATCGAACTAATAATTTTTAATTCAAATTTAGACTGGCGACTGAATACAAATCCTTGATTTTTATTTTAATTTTATAATAAAATTTTGCGCTTTTTTTTCCTGACATACCATTCAAAACATTTTCTGGGTCAACATAATATATATTCGAATGACATGAAATTCTTTTACAGTCAGTGAATAAATATCCCTATACTTTGTGAACATACTATTTCGTTTTTTATTGTTAAAAGATTTCGGGGAGTGTTTGGACACCCTAAACACCTTCCCACGCTATGTCATATGTTCCTCTATATCGTAAGTTAGAAAAATTTAAATTTATCATAAATTTGAATTAAAAATTTTAGATTTTTGGAAATTATTGTTCATTCAAGTAGGTTCTAATGTCGAAATTTACTGTGCAATTAGGTGTAATAAACTATTTCGTCAAAATTAATTATTAAAAAATATTATTAATAAAACATAAGTAGTATCTAAAGCACTTAATATTTTAAGAACAAAAGTTTAATTTAAAAGCTAAAAGAATTGCTAACTTATATTTCAACAAAACAATTACGAAAATTATATAACCGTGAAATATATATGTTCGAAGAATAATTCAAAAGATGAATCTAGAAAAACGTGAAGGGTAATGTAAGGAAAAGATTTAAAATTGAAATATATGTTCGCCATCTTAAGTTTCCTTTTGTTTTTGTTATTTTTCTCTTTTAAAATCGGACAGAAATTAGACTCTTGTTAACAATAAAAAAAGCAAAGAAAT